CCACAATCGGAGTGTCAGAACGTTATGTGAAATAGCATTTGGTACAGTGATTGGCATGTATAGAATATTCACTTCTGAGACGGATGTGACGTGAATTGCGGTCAGATTCCAAAAGTACGGAGTCAAATGTGACGTTAATGTCTGTCAGATTCCAAAAAAAACGAAGTCACTCCAAGAGAGTGACTGTAGAATATCGTATCTGGGACGAATGTGACGTGAATTGCGGTCAGATTCGTAAAATCCAAGTAGAGTTGATGTACACTTGATTGCGAGTAGCATCGCTTCCGGTTTAGAATTAGATTCCAAAKAGCTAAGGAGTCCAAGTCGAGCGAATGTAGAATAGTTATATCTGGGACGCATGTGACGTGAATTGCGGTCAGATTCCGAGAAAGTTGATGTACACTTGATTGCGAGTAGCATCGCTTCCGGTTTAGAGTTAGATTCCAAATAGCGAAGAAGTCTTCAAGTTGAGCGAATGTAGAATAGCCATATCTGGGACGCATGTCGAAGTCCAAGGAGAGGTTGCCGCAAGTAGCATCGGTTCATCAYTATGCCGTGTAGGTGTAATCCGRCTCAGGGTCCCAGGAGTGCTCTTAAGGTAAATGACGCCTGCACGAAGGAGAGAATGGACACGTGGAGGGACGAATTGACACGTGACGAAGGGTCCTGGGGGCGTAGAACCGATGCGTGTGCGAGGGAGGGGAGTTGGCATGTGCTGCTCAGAGGATGGAATCTGAGTGACAGTGCCCAGAGATTTAACGCACGTGCTCAGAGGGGGGAATCTGAGTGACAGTGCCCACAGATTCAACGAGTTACGATGAACACTCGTTCCTCATCTCTCGCAGCGACCTTGAACAGACGATAATGAGTTACCGACAAACACGCTTTCCTGATGTTGGTTGATTCAGACGGTGTCCTTGGTAACGAGTTAACGATACTCTGCTTGGTTAGCGGCTTGCTCCGCCTCGTTGAGGAGTGTTTAAGGGTCGGTCGGTGGTGAGCGAGGAACAGTGACCTCGGTTCGGTCTGCGTGGGCAGGGCTCTGTGTCAGCAGCTTCGAGTGGATGCGAACTGTCGTGGGTTCAGTTGGTCTTTTTGGAACGGCTTGGAAGGTGTCATGTGTACATGTATACGTTATCCTTTTGAAACGGTTGGGAAGCTGTTTTTTCAGGGAATCTGCACTGTGTGCATGTGAGACTGTGTGCTCGGACAGTGGTTTGTGTAATCAGCTGTTTTTTGAGAGAATCTGCACTCAGTATGTCGTTTCAGTGTGGAGAAGTCATTTTTTGCAATTGGCTTGGATGGTTCTATGTGTGATCGTTTTGAGTGATTGACYAGTGATTTGCATGCATGGAATGTGGTTTGGTTACGGGTTTGGTGTTCGTGTGGGGTCTGTGTTGTGGAGAGTGGGTTGGGGTTCGTGTGGGGGTCCGTGTGAGCCAGTGCAGTGCGGGGGACTTTCCTTTTGATGCCGTTTTTGGTTATACGCAACCGCGATCTGATTCCAGACGGGGGACCACAAAGCGTATAGGAAAGAAAAGAAAGG